TTTAGCACATTTCAGTTCAGACTAACCACATTAGTACTCCAATATCCACATGCAGCTACTGGCTTGCAGTACTGGACAGTGGAGCTCCAGATAATTTCTTCAACTCCATTCTAAAGATACATGAAACATTTCAGCAGCACTTTCAAGGATATATTGGCAATTCTTTTTTTTTTCCCTTAAGATTTATTTGAGAGAGAGAGAGCATACGTGGGGAGAGCAAAGCAGGAGGGGCAGAGGGAGGGGGAGAGAGAATCTCAAGCATACTCCACCTTGATCGCAGAGCCCCACTCAGGCCTCAATTTCATGACCTTGAGATCAGGACATGAGCCAAAACCAAGAGTCAGACAGACGCTTAATCGACTGGGCCACCCAGGTGTCCCTTGGCAATTCTTCTCAGAAAGGTGTTAAATCACTTGAGGTTTTACTTCAAAACCTGAATACATTAATTAGGCCTACTGCATTTTTATAATACAGTATCAGTACACAGAAAGTAGAAGTGAGAAGTATTTAAATTTGATTTTTCTCCATGAGTATTACTTTTTACTGTTTCAGGATGTGAAATAATACCAAACTTTATTTAAATTTTGAAATGGAATCCACAAGAGTATATTCTCTGCGAACAGTGTATAAAAAGCCTTCTGAATTTTGAAGATCTGTGATGAGTTAAGGTTGGAAATGGAGAATCAAGGAATCAGAGGAAATTATTAGTATTATAGATCAACAATAGGTGGCTGAATAAGATGAATCATCTTTGTTTCACTGTTCAATTTTTTCAGCTAACATAGTTAAGAAAATTACTTTATATACTGCAAGCCCTATATAGGGGTATCCAGTGTTTGAGCAACTTAGCGCTTCCAGTAATTTTACAGGAGGAAATGGGAGGTTGTATTTAAGTAGGCAGTCACTAGAAAATTCCAAGTTTTGAATACTGACTTCTCTAAATTCACATTCAAGCACAGGTCTTGTATCCAGTCTAATACTTCCAAGTTTTCATAAAAAGAATTAAGGTGAGAGCTGTAACAGTCAGTCAGATGCTAGCACAAAGTAGGTGCGGAGTTGATGAAATCATAGCTGGAATTTTGGCAGATAAAAAGAATGAAGGACTGAGTTTTTGCAAAAGAATGATTGTGGAATCCAAGCCTGGTAAAAAGGTGAGTCATAAGCAGAGTGAGATTGCAATGAAAAAAAAATAGTGGGGTCAAAGGATTGAAATTTAATGGGGTTGAAGGAGTGTAGAGCTGTAAAATTGTAAAGACAGGAGGTGGAAAGTAGGAGATGCTTGAAATCAAGACTTCAGAAGTTTGTAGTATTTGGTGAATACCAGGTCTGGGTCTCATGATGGGAGTAGGTGGCTGAAATGGAGACTAGGCTCACTGCAGGTGAGGAAGTTAGGGAATTAAAAGGGCGTTTTGGAAATTAAGTCATTAAGAATGTTTTAAGCAGTGGTAGGGGTTAAGTAAGCGAGGTGCTATATACTCTTAAGTGAGAAAGAGGAAGTAACCAGGAAGTGGGGTGGATCATGTATTCTATGTCAGTAGTTCTCAACTGTGGCCAGTTTGCACCAGAGGGGACACAGGGAAATGTCTGGAGACATTTTTGGTTGCCACAATTGAGGGGTGTATGCATGTGCTTTACTGGCCACCTTGTGAAGAGAGGCCAAGGATGCTTCTAAATATCCTACAATGCACAGAACAGCTTCTCTCTTACAACAAAGATTTATCTGGTTCCATATGTCAATAGTGCTGAGGTTGGGAAACTGCTTTAGGCGGAGGCACCACAATCAAGGTATGTTGGTTGAAAAAACAAGCTGAGAACTATCAATCCAGTAAATGTTGTTTCTACTTAAATTGAATAGTTTAAGGGAAAAAGACACATTAAAAATAATCCATTCATTCATTTACTCAATCAAAAAACATAGGCTGCATTTCTACTTAACAGGGCATCGCTATTGTAGGTTTTTAAGATTCATCAGTTAACATAAGATCCCTGTCCTGAGACTAAGAATTCCTCAAATCAGTGAGATCATATGATACATGTCTTTCTCTGATTGACTTATTTAGCTCAGCATAATACCCTCTAGTTCCATCCACCTCGTAATCTCAGGAAACAAACTGAGGGTTGCTGGAGTGGTGGGGGGTGGGAGGGATGGGGTGGCTGGGTGATAAGACATTGGGGAGGGTATGTGCTATGGTGAGCACTGTGAATTGTGCAAGACTTGAATCACAGATCTGTACCTCTGAAACAAATAATGCAATATATGTTAAGAAAAAAAAAAGAAGATAGCAGGAGGGGAAGAATGAAGGGGAGTAAATCGGAGGGGGAGACGAACCATGAGACACTATGGACTCTGAGAAACAAACAGGGTTCTAGAGGGGAGACGGGTAGGGGAATGGGTTAGCCTGGTGATGGGTATTAAAGAGGGCACGTATCGAATGGAGCACTGGGTGTGATATGCAAACAATGAATCATGGAACACTACATCAAAAACTAATGATGTAATGTATGGTGATTAACATAAAATTAAAAAAAAATCCATGAAAATCTTTATTCTTAATACCTGTGTCTTAGAAGTTTTCTTTATGCATTTTGATAGTTATCTAAATCCTCTAAGATTACATTAGCAATTAAAAAAAAAATCTGGTTTGAGAAAAAAGATCCCTGTCCTTGGATGCCTCTTAAGCAGAGAGAGACAGCTATAAATGTAGATGGTCTGTTAGAAAGTGGTGTTATAGAAGAGAGATTAAGGATATTGGGAGTGCTGGGGAGTGATGGACAAAGGGTAGACTGCAGTTCTAAATCAGGGTCTCACTGGGATGATGTCTGGACAAAGATTTAAGAGATGAGAGAATATGAATATATGTTGCCCAGAAAATATAGTTTTAGTTTGCATTCACTTCACAGGAAAGGGGTAAAGTGGGTTGTGCTAAGGGATACAAAATTAGACCAGCCATGATTTCTGCCCTAAAGGAGCTTCGTGATGAACTAACATCTTGGAAATCCTAGAAAAACGAAGACAGCAAATACAAGACAGTAATTTTGCTCTATACTCTTTGTTCCTGTTTTCATCTTTTGTCATTATCGGAATAACAGGTTAATGATTAGCTGTTATTTTCCACTTGTGCTCCACATTTGCTCCTTCTCAGAAAACAATTACACAGGAACCTGGATTAAGCAGTGAAATGATGAAATGGGTTTGGAGTAAACAACCAAGAGTGGTGGGGTCAGAGAACAGGAAAAGGTAAACTTACAGAGAGGGATAATGATTAGAAGAAAGGCTTGCAGTATCTCTATTTACCTTCCCTGCTGACAGTTGTTTCCAGCCACTTACTAGCTCTCTGCCTCTCAGGTATGGTAACAGCACAAGGAGCTATGCTGTTCGGGTTGGGGATTATCATACTTTGGTGCCAGAAGAATTTGAAGAAGAAATTGGAGTTCAGCAAATTGTGACTCATCGGGAGTATCGACCTGACAGCAGTGACTATGACATCGCCCTGGTTCGATTAGAAGGACCAGAAGAGCAGTGTGTTAGATTTAGCAGCCATGTTTTGCCCGCCTGTTTGCCACTCCATAGAGAGAGGCCACAGAAAACCGCCTCCAATTGTTACATAACAGGATGGGGAGACACAGGTAATGTAGATAACACGAAGGATAAGTGAGACCTGGGCATGTTCTTGTGTCTGGGACTATCAATACTTTTGGGTGTACAATGGGAATGAAAATCTTAAATGGGTTCAGGTTTAGTTGTTTGGAAATTGTCAAGTGTGTGATGCATGCATGTAATTTGGATTCATATCCTGAGGGTACTGTTGGTTACCATTATTATTATTAGCACAAATTGACAGAACTCAATTGCCTTATGGGGTAGAGAATCCTGTACTTTCAGTTCCATAGACTGGTAAGGAGACAGAGGAACGGATTTTTCATTTTTAAGACCCTACTCCAACACTTGGGGCCTGGCTCGTTATATTTAAAAAAAATCATTTTTTAAAGATTTTTATTTGTCAGAGAAAAAAAACAAGCAGGGGGAGTAGCAGGCAGAGCAGACAAAGGGAGAAGCAGGAGCCTGATGTGGGCTCGATCCCAGGACCCAGGGATCATGACCTGAGCCGAGGGCAGACGCTTAACTGACCGAGCCACCCATGTGCCGCCCCCCCACTTTAAAGCTTTTTGTCAGAGTGGCTATATTTTTTAAAAGCTTTCCCAGAGGACTCTGATTTAGCTACACCAGCAAAGGGCCTTGGTGTTTGATGGCCTTGCCTTTTCTGTAATAAAGGCCACTATCAAACTCAATTTTATGGAGAATCTCTAAATATAGAACAGACAAGAGAGCTACTATGAAGTGGAGATCCAACCCACTTTCTCCCCTTCATCCCACCCTCCCAACCCCCAAGCTAGAGCAAGATGTTCATCTTACAGTCTTCTCAGGCAAAACAATTTTCTGGATTGCCTTGCTATAGAATTAAATCAGTGTACATCAGCTAGTGCTTTGTTCAGGATGGTCCTTGAGAAAGATGTAGGGCTCACCTAGACTGGGTGCTTGATTCACAAATGGTTATTGAATAAGGGATAGGTTGACTGCTCTCCATTAAAAACTATCAACACTGATCATTGTACTCTTGAAAAGAACATCAAATAAGTATTTCTACGTGTGATAATTTCAATGTTTTATTTAGTAAATGTTTGTGTTCATTTCATCACACTGCACAAAATATGGGCTTTATACTTGCATTATTTCACAGCTGCATAAAGGCAGAATATCTGCTATAGATATACTGAAAAGGCATGTAACTGTCCAATCCTGAGATAAACCACAAAGAAAACATTTTCCGGATGATACAATAATCAGATCAGAGTAAATGCCTTCTCTGTACACTATGTGGATCTATGAGGCAAACAGTCTCTGAGAAGGCTTAACTATATCCATTACAACTCATGAGGGAGGGTTCATTTACCTTCCTTTAGACAGAAACAGAAATTAACAGTTAACAGAAATGACAAAGTCAACTTTACACAATGTTTTATTAGGAGTTATTACAATTAATAGGGTACAAGAAAAACAATGGAATTTAGATCCAAGAAAAGGCTCATGGAGAATATTATCAATTATACATTTTAGCCACTGAACAATGAGTGGCTACCAGTATAGAGTACACAAACTTCAAATGCTCAAACTTAGGCCTGTTTGATATATAGTAATGTTTTGCTCCTCCATTCTTATGAAATGCCATGCTTCTACCATGCTATTTAGAGTAGTTCTTGCCACTTTATGTCCTTCTATACCATTTAGTTATCACTCATTTAAACTACACTAATCACAATAAGGCTTTTATTTTCAAGATTAAAAGTTCATTTAACTGTTAAATGTTTTCTGTAAGGTCTTTAGCTGGCATCTAATTCAGATTATTTGGTCCGACTAGGACGAGCCTATTCAAGAACTCTACAACAAGCAAGCATCCCCCTACTTCCCAAGAGGTTTTGTGAAGAACGTTATAAGGGTCGGTTTACAGGAAGGATGCTCTGTGCTGGGAATCTACATGAACACAAACGTGTTGACAGCTGCCAGGGAGACAGCGGAGGACCGCTTATGTGTGTTCGGGCAGGAGAGAGTTGGGTTGTATATGGGATAACCTCCTGGGGGTATGGCTGTGGAGCCAAGGATTCACCTGGTGTCTATACCAAAGTCTCAGCCTTTGTACCTTGGATAAAAAGTGTCACCAAATTATAATTCTTCATGGAAACCTGAAGAGAAAGTATGTTGGAAAATTTTCAACCTCTACATTAGCACTCAGCCAGAGATGCCAACTTATGGGGATGAGAGCCATGTTTCTGCTTTTGTGTTGTGATTAAATCATGTACACCATTGCTGCTTGAGAAATTTGTGATGTGAACATTCTGTTAGATACCTCAGTGTAGTACTAATTATTCTTGATTAGCATTGTTGGAAGTCTTTATTCTCAGCACTCTCCAGAGATTACTGTATATCAGTTGTGCAATAAGCCTGTTTTTATTCTTTTGGATTAAGAGTCTGTAATTCAATCAATACTCTTTACTACACTTAAGTGATATTGTGTAATTAAGCTCAGATTTTCTTCAAAAGGCTGAGAAATTTCCACATTGACTCTCTGTAGCCTTTGACAAGTGAGGAAGTCAAGGCCCAAAAAGTGAAGGAATCCATTATAAACCTAGACTGGAATAGGATCAGTCACAATACATTCCTGAATAAAGCCTTTGTACCATGCACTATGGCAACACATTCTAGTTACCTAGCAAAATTTGGAATACCTGATAGTAAAGAATGCCTTCAAGTTGTTGGGATATACAACCTAATTTATCCACCTTATTTGTTAACATCCTCTAGCAGTTACTTTCGGCTTGATAAAATTTTTCCTTGGCATCATGCGATTTGCTGTACCATGACTTAAGAGTGCCATCTATTGCAACTTTCTTATAATGACTAAAACACGTAGATTTCCACTATCCTGTCCCAGCTAATAAAGACACACTATTAAAAAAATGCTTTCTCTGCTTATGTAGTGGGGGAAAAAAAGCTCTAAAATATCTTATTTGTTCCAACTGATTTAATTCATACTCCAGCTATGTGCTAGACACTGCATTAAGTGGCTATGCACCTCACTGACAATTTTCAAAAGGCTGATAAGATTTTACAGTATCCCTAGCTTTCAAATTGTCGAACAGACCTAGAGGCCAAGGTAAGCCAGTGGGATGTTAACTTCAGAATAGGTGCCCCAGTACTGACAATGTTATTTTCCCCCTCTACTGCTGTCTAAAGTCAATTTTCTCCTTTGGCTATTTTCCCAACCCAGTAAGGGACAGCTGCTTACTATGGACTCTTTCAGGACATTCTTGATAGCAATGCAAAATCTTTGCCCAAACATAAAAGGCATGCCCCTCAGGCCTTAAGTAGTTTTAAGCAGTTTTTGTATATCCAAGAAAGATTTGCATAAAGACAGGTAAAGAAGTCAGTGTGAACTTTAGGACCAGTTAAGTAAGCCTCTTCAAAGGCTAAATCCACATGAATGGTACTTCGCTACTTTCCCAACTGCATCTACTTGCGTTTTTTGTAAATCCTCAGCTTTGCAAAAAAAACTGGTGCTAACATAAAGGTGCTTTATAGTTTACTACTTTACAAAACTGCAATGCTATATCACACATAACATTAAAACTTTTCTAAAAGCTCAAGATTTTTGATAAAGGAAAAACTTTTCAAGCATTTACATCTACAGAGATGAGAGCTACACAGTGCACACCTGCACAAGGGGCTTGAAAAAAATGTGCAATAGAGGAGAAAATTTATCTCTACTGAAACTTCGCACAGGCCACCTTTCTAATTAAACTATAGTGCAGATGCAAGCAACATTTATATTGAATTTTTAATAGGCCAGAGGTTGGGACACTTTTAAAACAGCCAACAGGCAGCCTACAGTTTGCTCAAACTTGAATAGAATACTTGGTTCATAATATGTCTTTATTATAGCTCTTGTTAAGCGTTAAGTGTGAATTTTAAATGACACAAGTGTTCAGTGCACATTTGTGTGAATAAAGTACATAGTTGTTCATCTTGTATAGTAGCCTTAATCTTTTGTGTGGTAACTGTGCTGTCCCTTATGGGTACCCGCCTTTAATGTTGTTTCCCTCCAAATACTGTAGTACCTTACACCAATAATCATCATTCATACTACTTCCATACTACCTCTTACCAGAAAAAGTAGTCTGTTACTTATTATTTGTCGTAACAAATACCTTTCCACTTCCTTTTTAGAGAACCTGGATTCTCCAGATGAATCAAGCATTTTATTTAATTACAGCAAGCAAGGAAGTGCTCACTTATTCTCTACTTAAACGCCATAGTTAAGCAAAAACATCAGACCTATATTGAAAACACCACACTGATAGTTTCCAGAACATTATTTGCACTCAATACCCGAGCTGTTGAGATTTAAGATCACCTTTTGGCAGGACACCACAGGATTCTAAACAAACAGGACTTCACCCATATCACCTTAATTTCTTGATTATCTGCAAGAGAAGAAAACCACCTTTATAAAACTCTTATCTGTGTACTCACATCACTGTTGAGATCTTAGCAACTACTTGTTACTTTCTGTTTAGCTGGCTATTAACCTCTTTCAAATTACAAAGTTAACAGCAAGAAGGGGCCAATTCTGGCCTTCCAATTCCTTAGCAGGAAGGGTTTCAGAACTACGAAGGGTTTCACTAACTACGAAATACGAATAAAAAGGAACCTACCATGTCATGTTTTCTATCATCCATCGGACAGTTGGTTCAGCCTCCTGGAAACATTTCAACAATAGTTAGATGTGTGCCCAACAACCCAGCACCCTCCAGGTTTTCCAAAGTGAATGTTACTTGTGCAAGTCAGAATCTGATACCAATTAAATGGTGACAGCTTTGCCAATAAACAAGAATATGCTCTTCCATGGCTAGGAAGGGAGACTGCCACAGCTGACAGGTCCCAAAGATACATGGAGATTCACAATCCCAGAGCAGATGAGCATGCACAACCACAGACACTACTCACCTTCCGGATCTAAATGGGGGAGTTTCAGGATGCGGTGTTACTATTTAACAGTGGCGGAGTAGATTCAAGATGGCTACTTGACACCGACAGCGGGTTTCGCGACCTTTGCCCGAGGGCCCACGACCCGGGCGCGCTCGGCTTCAGGCTCGCCACCCAGGGCTGCACGTGGCCGCCTCGTGACCTCAGGAACACCTAAGGCCCCTCAGGTTTTCCAACCAAGAGGTTTTCAAAGCGGACGTGGACCTACCACTACAAGTCTCTTGAAACCCCTGCATTTTAACTAAGCCGGAAAGTTCTGCCCCAATTACCACCTTAGTGCACAAAACGCGACAGCGTACCTTAATCTCAGAGCCTAAAACCCGACGCTTCCCGGATGTAAAAGGCCGCGTCCCTCGGCGCACGCTCTCTTATAGGGCTGGTGACGCTATTCCGGGGAAGCGCCGCGAGGGGCGGGGCCCACGCGATTTTTCCTCCGCTCTGCCCTTTACGGCGCCTCCACGGTTCCACCCCTTCGTGATGGCCCCTCCCACCTCTCAGAGTTTGCTCCACCTTCCCCGCCCATCCAGGGGACGGGGCTGCTCACCAACCCTTTGATTCTGACGCGCGCGCCTCCAGGGGTGGCAGAAAGTTCTCGCGATACTAGGGAATCCTGATGCTCGTGGTCTCCGGCCGACTGGGAAGGTGAAGTTTTTGTTTCCTGGTTACTTTAGGGTAGTTAACTTTCGAGGTTGCCATAGTTACTGAAACACCAAGCTATATAGTTCTCCGCTTCTAAACCTTTAGGTAGGTTAATATATATGGAACTAGCTGATTTTTTTATCTATTAGTGAACTATCCGGGACTCCCGTCTTCCGCTGGAATTGCTGTTCCTGAAGCTCAGGTGTCAGTGATCTGCAGTCATTTAAAAAAGTTTTTTTTTTCTGGTCTAATCTCTTAGGAGTATTTACACTCATTACTGAAAGCCTTGCCGAAAGATTCTGTAAACACAAGTTTAGAAAAAGCAAAGGACATTAGCCGGAAGAGCGTACGACCGACCCATTTACGTGTGTTTCTGAACATGGCCCGCGTTGCAGACTGACCCAGTGTCGTTTTTACATATCTGGCCGCAGCTGGGCTCCGCCGACTCTTGAAAACGGGCGCCTAGGTCTTAACCTCCCTGCTGTACCTTCGAGGGTTTAATTAAAGAAATAATAGAGCTACCCCTTGTAAAATGGAATTAAAAATGTTTAGGAATACTTTTAGTCCTAGACATGTGCTTATTAACTGCCATTACATTTATTTTCTATTTTCCCTTGTCCTCTCAGATGAAGCAAAAGGGAGGTTCGAGGCAACGTTTTTACTTAGTAGTGGACCATTTGGGAAGGTTGTCGCCGCAGTTGCTGTCAGGAAAAATGGTATCAAGAGGCCTGGTGAATAAAGTGCCACAGTAGAGATCTACAGAATCTTCATGAAATCCCCGCATACTGTTCAGGGGGAAATAATTAGAGCAAAAATTGCTATTACGGTTAGCGTCGGAATGACAAGTTTATAGGAAATAAATTTTAACTTGAAAGAACTAAAGTTTCTGAGGCTCACCTTCTATCACCCTTTCTTTTTCTTCATCTTACTCCATCTCACTAATGAACGGAAGATACTATTCAATAACAAAGTTTAAATACCAAATCACAGTGGAGAGTTTTGCCAAATTAGATTTCATTTAGAATCTCTTGCAAAGGCTGTCCTAACAAAATGTCACAGATTGGGTGGCTTCAACAACGGATTTTTCACAATTCTGGAGACAAAACTCTGAGATCAAGGTGTCCACAGGTTTGTTTTTAGACCTTCTGTGGCCTGTAGATGGCCCTCTCCTCCCTGTATCTTCACATCCTTCACCCCTCTAGCTTCTGTATCCCAATCTCTTCTTAAAAGAACACAGTCATTTTATTTTATTTTATTTTTTTTATATTTTTTAAATTTTTATTGTTATGTTAATCACCATATATTACATCATTAGTTTTTGATGCAGTGTTCCATGATTCATTGTTTGTTCATAACACCCAGTGCTCCATGCAGAACGTGCCCTCCTCAATACCCATCACCAGGCTAACCCATCCCCCTACCCCCCTCCCCTCTAGAACCCTCAATTTGTTTTTCAGAGTCCATCATCTCTCATGGTTCGTCTCCCCCTCTGACATACTCCCCTTTTCTTCCTCTCCTGTTATCTTCTTCTTTTTCTTTTTTCTTAAAATATGTTGCGTTATTTGTTTCAGAAGTACAGATCTGTGATTCAACAGTCTTGCACAATTCACAGCGCTCACCATAGCACATACCCTCCCCAATGTCTATCACCCAGCCACCCCATCCCTCCCACCCCCAACCACTCCAGTAACACTCAGTTTGTTTCCTGATATTAAGAACACAGTCATTTTAGATTAGGGCCTTGCTAATGACCTCATTTAACCTTAATTGCCACTTTAAAGATCTTGTCTCCAAATACTGTCTTATTCTGAGGTATGGGCAGTTAGGACTTCAACGTGGGGATGCATATATCTTTTTTGATTTAGTGTTTTTGTTTTCTTCAGATAAATACCCAGAAGTGGAATTGCTGGATCATATGTAATTCTATTTTTAATTTTTTGAGGAACCTTCATACTGAGGTTCCTCCATACTTTTCTAAGCGGCTGGATGAATTTACATTCTCATCAACAGAAAACAGGGTTTTTGCTTCACATTCTCGCTAACCCTTGTTATTTCTTGTTTTTGTTTTTTGTTTTTTTAATACTAGCCATTCTGATTGTGTGAGATGATATCTCATTGTGATTTTGATTTACATTTCCCTGATTATTAGTGATGTTGAGGATCTTTTCATGTGTCTGTTGGCCATCTTTATGTCTTCATTGGAAAAATGTCTAGGGGCTCCTAGGTGGCTCATTTGGTTAAGAGTCTGCCTTCACTCAGGTCATGATTTCAGGGTCCTGGGATTGAGCCCCACGTCGGGCTCCCTGCTGAGCACGGAGTCTGCTTCTCCTCCTCCCTCTGCTCTTCCCCCTGCTTGTGCTCTCTCACTTGCACACGCTCTCTCTCAATTAAAAAAAAAAAAGTCTGTTTACATCCCCTGCCCATTTTTTAATTGGGTTGTTTAGTATTTTGCTGTTGAGTTGTATGAGTTGTTTATATATTTTGGATATTAACCCATTATTAGATATATGATTTACAAATAGTTTTTCCCATTCGGTAGGTTGACTTTTCATTTTGTTGAAAATTTCCTTTGCTCTGAAGAAGCTTTTTAGTTTGATGTAGTCCCACTTGCTTATTTTTGGAGTCAGATCCAAGGAATCATCACCAAGATCAATGTCAAGGAGCCTACCGCCTATGTTTTTCCCTAGGAATTTTATGGTTTCAGGCTTACATTCAAGTTTTTAATCCATTTTGAGTTCATTTGTGTGTGGTGTAAGACAATAGTCCAGTTTCATTCTTTTGCATGTGGCTGTCAAGTTTTTGTAGCACTATTTATTGAAGAGACTGTCCTTTCCCATTGTATATTCTTGGCTCCTTTGTTGTAAATTAATTGACCATATATGCATGGATTTATTTTTGGGCTCTCTATTCTGTTCCATTGATCAATGTGTCTGTTTTGTTTATTTCATTTTTTAAAGATTTTATTTATTTGAGAGAGCGAGAATGAGAGAGAGAGAGAGAGAGCACATGAGAGGGGGGAGGGTCAGAGGGAGAAGCAGACTCCCCGCTGAGCAGAGAGCCCGATGTGGGACTCAGTCCCAGGACTCCAGGATCATGACCTGAGCCAAAGGCAGTCGCTTAACCAACTGAGCCACACAGGCGCCCTGTTTATTTATTTTTTTTTAAAGATTTATTTATTTATTATAGGGCGGGGAGGAGCAGAGGGAGAGAGAGAATCTCAGGCAGACTCCCAACTGAGCATGGAGCCTGATGCTGGGCTAGATCTCACAACCCTGAGATCATGAGATACTTGAACCAAAATCAAGAGTTGGATGCTTAACCAGCTGAGCCACCTAGATGCCCCTCAGTGTGTCTATTTTTATGCCAGTATTTTACTGTTTTAATTACTATAGCTTTGTAATATAGTTAGAAACCATGGAGCATGATGTCTCTAGCTTTGTTCTTTCTCAAGATTGCTTTGGCTGGGCGCCTGGGTGGCTCAGTTGGTTAAGCAACTGCCTTCGGCTCAGGTCATGATCCTGGAGTCCCGGGATCGAGTCCCACATCGGCTCCTTGCTCAGCAGGGAGTCTGCTTCTCCCTCTGACCCTCTTCCCTCTCGTGTTCTCTATCTCTCATTCTCTCTCTCTTGAATAAATAAATAAAATCTTAAAAAAAAAAAAGAATCTTTAAAAAAAAAAAAGATTGCTTTGGCTATTTGGGGTCTTTTATAGTTCCATGCAAATTTTAGCATTGTTTGCTTTATTTCTGTGAAAAATGCCATTAGAATTTTGACAGGGATTGTATTGAATCTGTAGATTGCTTTGCATATTATGGACATTTAAACAATATTCTTCCAGTCAATGAGGGCAGGATATCTTTCCATTTACTTATATCATTTTCAATTTCTTTCATCAGTGTTTTATAGTTTTCAGTATACAGGTTTTTCACCTTCTTCATTAAATTTATTTCTAACTATTTTATTCTTTTTGATGCAGTTGTAAATGGAATTGTTTTCTTAATTTCTCTTTGTGATAGTTCATTATTAATGTATAGAAGTACACTTGATTTTTATATACTGATTTTGTATCCTGCAACTTTACTGAATTCATTTCTTCTAACAGGTTTTTTTTTTTTTTTTGGGTGGAGTTATTGGGTTTTCAATATGTAATATCATGTCATCTGCAATTAGTGACAGTTTTACTTTTTCCTTTCCAATTTGGATGCCTTTTATTTCTTTTTCTTACCTAATTGCTCTGGCTAGGACTTCCAATTCTATGTTGAATAAAAATGGTAAGAGTGAGCATCCTTTCTTGTTCCTGATCTTAGAGGAAGAACTTTTATCTTTCCACCATTGAATATATTAGCTGTGGGCTTGTCATATATGGCCTTTATTATGTTGACATATGTTCCCTCTATACCTACTTCCCACTTTGTTCAGTTTTTATTCATAAATGGATGTTGAATTTTCATATATTTTCATGTGTCAAAATACTATTTAGTTTTGAATGCTTTGCTTGAATATCACTTGTTCTGTGAAACTTTTCATTACTTGAACTGAATTTGATTTCCTTTTTTGACAAACTATAGTACTTGGATTTTTCTTGTAGTATCTTTATTATATTATAAACTCCTTTTGAAGGACTGTGTCTCTTATTTGAAGTGCCTATCAGAGTGACTCATTAAATAAGCAGGAAATTGCATTATCGA